TTTTAATCCCCTTTCTCCTGCTCTGCCCTGCTGTTTTGTGCGTCCCTGAGTTGTCCCTGGGGCTGACTGCTCCTCTGTCCAGGTTCCTGGCTTTTACCCCCTTTCTCCTCCTCTCCGGTCCTGCTGCTTTGGGCAGGCCTGAGTTTCCTCTCCTCACCTAATCCCTTTGGCTGATTGCTCTTCTCTCTGCTTCCTGGCTTTTAATTTCCTTTCTCCTGCCTCTCCGGCCTGCTGTTTGGGCGTCCCTGAGTTGTCTCTCCTCACCTGTAGCCCTGGGGCTGACTGCTCTTCTGTCCGGGTTCCTGGCTTTTATCCCCTTTCTCCTGCACTTCCGGCCTGCTACTCGGCGGGCCTGAGTTTGTCTCCTCACCTAATCCCTTCGGCTGATTGCTCTTCTCTCTGGCTTCCTGGCTTTTAATCCCCTTTCACCTGCTCTTCCCGCCTGCTACTTTGGGCATCCCTGAGTTGTCTCTCCTCACCTGTAACCCTGGGGCTGATTTATAAAGCCTGGTAATCAGGTATAGTAGATCAAACAAGTAGTACAGAATGTCACTAGAATTCTTGTTTTGATAATCATGTAAATGCATCATCATGGAGGGTGTTCAGTTAAGAAGGGTGAAAGGTGAGAGGAGGAACATTACAGGAGGAAAAAAATAGCACCAGTGTTTATGTAATTTATTTGGGAAGAAGTAGAGAAAACATTTTGGTTACAGATAATAATAGCAGCCACCATTTGATGAGTGTTTACTGTATGTGTTATTGCATTCATCTCTGACAATCCTGTAAAGAAAGTACTATTGCTCTGATTTTATGACTATGATAGTGAAGTTCAGAGTTTAATTAACTTGCCCAAGGTCATTTAGCTAATAAGTAGCAAAGTAGAGATTTTAACCTCTCTCTGACTCCGAAGCACGAACTATAAACCAAAAGAATATTTGAGAGCAATAAAAGGAGGAAAAGCAGCAAGACATCAATAGTAAAGTTAGCCAAAGCCTTGGAGCAATATGATATTACCTAAGGAAAAAGGTATAGAGTAAGAAAAAAAAAAAAAAGAACAAAGTAGAATGTCCCTATCTAGGGTAGGAAATGAGGAAGGAGGACCACCAAACAAGTATAAGAATCAGAAAATTAGAAAGAACACAAGAAAGAGTGACAACCTGTAAGCCAGGGTAAGAAAAGCATTTCATGAAGGAGTAACAAAATAATCAAAGATGTTAAGAAGTCAAAATAGAAGGCAGTTGATTTTTGGTAGTCAAATCAATAGACTGAGAGTGTAAAGGTAAAAAACTAAGTAATGAGAAAAAATCATATAAAATGATTCCTCAGGTTTAGAAGAAAAGCAAAAGAGTTTGCAAATTAGTTAGAAGAAAACTACGAGAATGAAATATATTTTCTTAAGAGATTATCAATTAATAGAGACAAAACACACAAAAACATACACAGACAAATCAGGGTTGCAGAATCCACAAACCCAGCCAATATCAATGGGCTATAATAATAATTTTTTGGTCTTTAGGATCATTACACTATAGGGAGTACAATGACGTTACCACTCCCTTACCTGCACTGTGGTAGTTAAGGTTGTGTCAACTTGGCTGGGCCTGGGTTTGAGTGGCTAGGCAGCTGGATGTAGTTATTCCCCATGATGAGACTGGTAATCAACTCCATGGTAGAATGTGCTGTGAGCAGCTCAGTAGCTGCCTTAGGGATGTGGTCTGCTTCCAGTACATAAGAAGCTTTGAGAAAGGTCTCTAGCTTTTTGGCACATCTGGACCCTGCATAGAGCCTAGTCTTCATTCAGCAGTCTGCATTGTTGCCTGCTGATCTTGGGACTGTTTCTGGACTTGAATTAGTACCTGCCATGTTGCTTAATAATCTTGGGACTGTGATATTTTACTTGTCAACCTTGGGCTTGTCAGCCTCAGCAGCCAGCAGCTGACTGAGTTAGGCCTCCAGCTCCAGTGAGCCAGGCACAAGAGGCAGAACTGAAGCCTGACACTGAGGAGCCTTCACCCAGCCCCTAGAGCTGACACTCTGAACTCAGAATTTTAGTCTCTTAAACTGTAAGAGAATAATTCCCTGTTTGTTAAACATTCCCCCTACAGTATCTTCTCTTACAGCAGCACTAGAAAACCAAAATACCCCACCCACTGAAATAATCTTTCTTTCCCCCAAAAACAGAAAAAAACAAACCTGTTGCTGCCAAGTCAATTCTTACTCATAGTCACCCTATACGACAGAGCAGAACTGCCACATAGGGTTTCCATTTATGAAAACAGACTGCCACATCTTTCTCCCATAGAGTGGCTGGTGGGTTCAAGCCACCAACCTTTAGGTTAGGTGAGCACTTAACCACTGTACCACCTGAATTCTACCCACTAACATAAAAAGTTATAGTTAAAACATGCTTTGGATATAAAGACTCTGGTTTAAAAAACTGATTTTGAATTTAAAAAGCAAGCTATTATTGCTTCTCTAATTATTGCAGAATCCACAAACCCACACACAAACCTAACCTGGTTTGCTGCTTGTTTTCGTACTCTTTAAGGTTGCTGGTGGTGTTGGGAGGATCTTTGCAGGTGTGTATGTATTTAAAGATATTTTTCTTCTTACTACTGGAGTGGAACATGAAGCTGTGGAGGCTGAAAGAAAATAAACATAGTAATTTAATGATTTCCTTCTAATTCAATTTCTGTATTTTAGAAAATTTCTTATGACATTTTCAGTGACCCCAAGGATATACATAAAAACTGCAGAAAATAAAGGCAAGGTTTACAGAATAAATTCAGCCAGAACATCTTTCCTTTTATAAAAAGATAGTTCCCTCATATCCTTGGCCAAATAGTTACTGTTTATATTGTAAACAATAAACATTCTAATGGTATATACCAAAAAACTGCCAACAAGAATAAAGCAAAAGACCTAATTTATCCTGTCCTGTTAGAAGTTCAGATTTTTAAGGGATTACAGAAAGCTGATGACAGTGGTGCAGTTCATAATCTTTAAGATAAAGAATCCCAAATTGTTTTTCTTCTCAAAAGTATCAAGTTGAGAGTTATGAAAGCTTCATTTACAAATATATCAGTCTTCTAAATTATCACATTTAAGAATAGACTAACCAAATTACAAGTAACTAATTAAATCAGATTGACTTCCTATATTTCTCAGCTGAGATTTATCTTCTTCAAAGAGAATTTTAAATAATTTTTTTTTTTTGTCTAAACAAAGTAGAGAGACTGAAGGGGTATGAAAAAGAAAAACTGGGATAATTCTTATATATGGAATCCTCCAGCAAAGAATAGGCAAGCTACTTCAATCATAAGTGGCACTCTATTTTAATATTCCAAAGAATGAGAAATCATAAACTTTAGAAGGACTAGGTTTTAGTTACACTTGACAAGCTGATTTCCTCAAGTGTGTCTTTCTTGGTTTTTCCCTTTAAACAGTAAATTTTTCAAAAATGACATCTTAAATAAAATGGATCAAAGCAGAGATATTCTTGCTGAAGCAGCCATAAAAGACGCAAGCCCTAACTATTTAGTGTACTTCTCTTCCTCACTGAACTTCTGAAGACTCTCACGTACAGTTTGAAGACCAATGAACAAGTTTATCTCTAAAGTTCATCCAATTCTATGGAATGCATTAACTCTATTTACTTTCTCATCCAGTTCCATTAAAAAATAATGATGTGAAATTTTAAGAAAGGTAGAGGGATAAGATAAGGAGCTCTGGTGGTGCAGTGGATAAAGGACTTGACTGCTAACCACAAAGTCAGAAGTTCAAACCCAACAGCTGCTCTGCAGAAGGAAGACTGGGCAATCTACTTCTGTCAAGATTTACAGCCTGGGAAACCCAAAGGCGGTCTCTATAAGCTGGAAATGACTTGATGGCAGTGAGTTTGGTTTTGTTTTTTTTTTTTTAAAAGAGGACTAGGAGTACAATTTGATCCATGATATACAGGAAAGCTAATTAGAACAAGTGGAAAGGGAATCTAATATTCTTGCCCTCATTAATACAGTCTGATGAACTAAAGTCACTAACCACAGAAATTAAGCTGTCATAAAGTAATCGCATCACAGAACAAGCCTTAAAATTACTATTTTTTTGTACAGGTTGTAATTATTTTTTAAAAATATTACATTTAATATTCTCTTTTCAAAATAAACAGAGGTCATGAATGCTGCTATACTTGTAAGACACTCACTATAAATCTTCTAAATAGTATTGATATCTACCCTAAACTCTTATTTAATAGTTAGAATCTTTCTTTAATATCTATTTAAGATTTCTAATCTCATTCCTAAATATTTTAGAACATTCACACTAAGACACCTCTCCATTAATCTTTGCCACTAATGATTGAAAGCTGACCTCTAATATCAGAAATGAAGAGAAAGGAAAGGCCACTACACTGCAAATATTCAGGGGGGCACCATTTGTATAAAATATAATGTGAATATGCTTTATAGATTTACTCAGTACAGTGGCCCAAGCAAGGGAAGAGGAGAATAACCAGGAGGCATCAAAGTGTCTTTCATGCCAAGAACAACATTTCATTTTGTTCTTGGTAGAAAGCTATTTATAGAACCCTACAAAAAGAATGGTATTCAAAGAAAGCTTGCAGCTTTTCTAACATCTTAGAAATCAGATTTTTTTTTCATTTTTTAAAGAATTATTATTATTTTTATTGTGATTTGGGTAAAAGTTTACATAGCAAATAAGTTTTCCATTCAATAATTCATACATAGTTTGTTTAGGAATTAGAGAGATTCTTAATGCTCAGCAGAGCACTCTCTCCTAAAACTAAGTCTTCCCAAACTAGAAATTCCAATGTAGTAAGAGATCTGATAGAACTGAAAAAGACAATCGGCAGATGACTTCCCACCATGAAAAAGGTAGCCCCAGGCATTTCTCAAAAGGATGTTCCTCAGAAACATGTTCCACATGTTTAAATGCATCACCAAAAAAGTGTTTATTTCAAAAAATTAGTTCTGGAAAATCCAGGTCTAGCTTTCTCTGCAGAAGAACTTCAGTTTTTTATATGATAATGTAAATATAACTCTCCAAAGAGAGGTGAGGTATAATATACGGTATCTAAAACTTATTTAGTCATGAAATCTTTTATTCACAAATATCAACTAACTTCTTCAGAATATTTTCTGAAGAACACAATTTGAAAAGATGCTGTACTAGTTTGCTCTCTTCAGTCAAGAGTTCCTTCCAAACCAATATGACTACTTACTAAAGGTAGTGAGGGGATAGCCATGTGTATGTGTAAGTTAATGTGAGCTGATATTTTGTGATTTTTAAAAACTTTATTGGAAAATGATATACATCAGGACTATATAAGTTTCAGTATACAGTTTTTAAAAAGATCATGGCTCTACATTATGTTAGTATCTTCCGTTGCTGGGTCCAAAAATTTTTTTCTTTTTTTGTAAGAAAACATGATTTTTTAGAGGGTTCAAGAGAAACAGGACATTATATATTACACCCCTCTCTCTCCTAAAATTCTATTAATTACCACCACTTTAGTTTAAAATTTTCTAATTCTTGTTACATGCAGATATTATCTACTGTCCGACTATAAATAATAATAAAGGTAACTTTTCCTACAAATTTCAGGGGTCTTCCGTGGAATTTCACTTGATGGAGAAGCAATGGAAGCAAGAAATTCATCCACCTGCTTTAAAGACAGGGCATTGTGAAGAGTTTCTAGTGGGCAAATAGAAGGTACCATGGAATACAATTCAAAGCCTGGAAAAGAAAAGAAAAATGACAAAAGAAGTTGAGTATTTTTTAAAAGTCATTAATTAAAAAAGCAGAAGACCCAGTGCTTAAAATTGGACAGTTTAGGTCTTTTCAGTCTATCACATGCAAACACATGAGGATCTTTGAAGTCATGATACCAGATGCTATGCAATATGGAGTTGGAACAAGATGGGACAAAGATTTCATTTGAAATGTAATCACATAATATAGCACGCACACAATTTCATTCACTACTTTGGTAAAATCTTAGAATAATGCTTGAAGGAAAAACCTGGGGGTGGAAACAGAAAAAATACAATTTTAAAGGTTTTATTCTATTTAATGTTAAGTCTATTCAGTAGGTGACATAAACTGATGTCCTATAATATGTCCCTTATGCCAGAATGTTAAAGGTAACTTCTTGTTGGAAAACAATTATGTAATTAATTGTGACAAGAATTTTAAATAGGTTTCTAGGCATGCCAAGGCCAAAAATACTCATTGGTGTGATCCCAAAACAAAATTTATTCATGGATGCTGGAATTAAAATTCCAAAACATATTTCACCTACCTTTACTGAATTAACACAATTATTTCTATTACTGGAAATCACTGGCTGAGTTAAGTAAAAAGAAATACAAAATACAAATACATTCACATCCAACAATGACACAGAAACACAAAAATTTCATGTACAACCATGCAAATATATATTAATACCATCAGTGAAATAAAAGCAACTAAAAACAGTTTATTTACTTACAGCATATAGAATGTGGGTTATCTGCCTTTTAAAATAAAATTACCGGCCTATTTAACTTTAATTCAAAAGCATAGCTTTTAAAATTGCCTTTATATACTTTAAAAATAACAAGATTTTCTGCATCTACTCTTTAAAAATTTCAAACTAATTGTCTTCCAAAGGAACACAGAATACGTAAAGTTTTATATGAAGTCCAACATGACTAATTAAAAAGTAGAAATTAATTTAACACAAATAGAAAGCAAACTGTTTCAAGAGGCATTTGTTTCAAAGTTGTTCATTTTAATGTTGACTGATGTTATGACTGAATTATACCCCTTCAAAATATATACAGTAAATCCCAACCTCTATGCCTGAGTTTATGACCCTATTTGGAAAAGAACCTATTTGTTATGTTAATGAGGCAGGATTTTTGCAGGGTGTATTCTGAATGGACTCTTTTGAGATATAACAGAGATTTAAAGAGCAAGCAAGTGATCAGAGATGGGGTGAGACAAATGCCAAGACACATGGAGATCTTCAAGGAACCAGGAGGCAGAAGCTGAAGAGACAAGGACCTTCCTCAAGAGCTAACTGGAAAGCCTTTCCCTAGAGCCAGCACCCTGAATTGGAACTTCCTAAACTGTGAGAAAATAAATTTGTTTGTTAAAGCCAACTTGTGATATTTCTACTACAGTAGCACTAGACAACTAAGACAATTGATATTTGAGTTATTTAAGTTTGGGAGGAAACAATGACCTAAGAACTGCCCAGTTTTCAGGTAGAAAAGGGAAACTCTGGTTAGAATGGAATCCAGTCTTCTTACGAAAATAGCCAAAGGATTTAAAATGTGACGTTTGATTTTTAGGTGCAAACAAAGCATAATAGAACATTACAAATGCTTAAAAACAAAAAACAAAAAACACTGTAATTCCAATAACAGTGGCTAGGGCACCTAAGATAAGCACTAAAGAAATAAGGCTTGGCACATTATTACATTTTTTAAAAATACGAGATTCATGCAAATACACGCAAACCCTTTCTTTGCATTACACTAAACTTAACAATGTATTTTTTCTCTTTTCCCAGAGTATTTATAAGCCTTTCGTGACAACTATTTTTCTCATATTTCTGTGTTAGGTTTTATAATAGGCAAATGACAATATAATCAAATTCCTCTGGACTATGTTTTTTCCATTGATGTTTAGTATATTTTGTTTTTAATGCACAATGAAAGGGTTAGCGCAGCAATTTCAAAAGCCACTCTGCTGTCATGTTTAGAAGCTATAAAAACATACCACTGGAGCCTAGAAATTCCACATAGGAAACGGACCAGCACCTATAGAGGTGTAGGTGTTCTGCACAGAGGCCCAGAAAATAAGGTAAAGCACTGTCAGAAGATACTTGTTTCACCATGTTCCTTGAACTAAAGATGAAGGGAGGGTAAATCCATGATATATGTTAAAGATTGAAGTAACAAGAAAGTTAAGGGAAATAAAAAGTGAAAGGAAGAGTCAAATGACAATTCATAGGACAGATAAAGACAACACAGCATTAAAAAAAAATGAAGAGAAATAGTTTGAAATCTGGAAAACTCAAAAGAAATTATTTCCAGAGTTGAAAGGAATGCATTTTACATGCATTAAGTTCCATGAGGTACAGAAAACATAAATTTTTTTTAAAAAGTCTAAATCAAAGTCATACAAAATTATTCTATTTTATAATATAGTATTTCTATTTTTAAAATATAGTTAACAACAGATTTCTCCTGGATAAAACCTGCACTACTGGCTATAAATACATAAGCACTCTGCGTAAAATATACAGTCTTAAGCCTTCAAAACCTCTTCTTATAATTTTGTGACTTTGCTTTTCTCATGACTTCTGTTTTTCTTCTAAGAAGTCTTATACAGGCTGTTTTCGTTAGAAGCTGCAGCTGTATCAAGTAAGAAACTTTTTCTTCAAAAAAGTAGCAATGAAAAAAAAAGCTAAAATGGAAGAAAAGCACAATAACCCTTATTTAAGGCTAAGTTTTCACTTGTTGAGGATGAGATATTCTCCACCATTAAGAAGTATTAACACTGTTGTTTAGACATGTAGTTAAAGGATGGATCCAGAAGGGAGAATGTGACCATAAACTAGTATTTATTTAATCCTTTAGCTTCACAAAAGTTTTTGAAAGACATGACTTAAGTTTTTGAAAGTTATTTGCAGTTATAAAAAAGGAAAAAAGTTCTAAGAATAAACGTACCTCCCATTCCAAATAAAAAACAGAAAGCTTTGTGTTTTCTTTTTAATTCTTTGATCTTGGATTATTTAAGAGGTCAGTAGAAATTCTCTTTCCCCACAAGATCATGTTCTCTATAAACAGCTATGATAGTGCAACAATTCAGTTTATAAATAATGGCTTTGAAACACGTTCCTGTTCAGCCTGAAAAATTTATCTGAATTAGGACTCCTAAATTTTTCTGAAAAAGCACTGGTAACAAAAGGAACTGGTGGCTTGCTAACAGCATACCAGGGCAAAGTCAATGCTGGATGATGTTTTCACTAACTATCAAGTCAGGTTTTGCTTTACACAAAGAACGATGAATTAATGTTCACAGTGAAATCTGCATCCTGTGGTTCCAAGAACTTTTCAGAGACACATCTCATTTGACTGACATAGGTAGCTCTGTATTTTCATTAACAATCTCAGTAAAAACAACCATGTGATCAGAAAAGGCATTAGAAAAAATACAGAAGAATTATTAAGAATTAAGAACAAATTAAAGAATACTAATTGTAGTTTTAAAACCTGTGAGACTGATCACTTGAGAAATCAGAAGACATTTTTGGGAGTTAATTTAGTATTAAAGCTCATCATTGTGCTAATTTAAAAGTGTGATGAGTAATGTTAAATTATTGTGCAAAAGTATAGCTGAAAAAGGGAGCTAGACAGTATCAGTAATTTGAGTGCATAATTTGAATGAATAAGTTGGAATTGTATGCCAACTGAAATTAAGGAAGAATAAATGAATGATACTGTATATCCCACATTTTGAAATTAAAAAAAAATAGAAAAAGGGATGTAGCAGGGGAGTATCTTTTAAAATAAAAGCAAAACGTACCATTGGTTGGGTGTCGAGCAAATGAGATAGAAAACCTTTTAACAGCAGAACCGCGTGTGGCGTCTGAGAAAGAGAAAAACAGGTACCTGAAATTCATAACAGCTATCAAAAGAGGGACATATAAAAAAAAAGAGGGGAAAAACAAATATATGAGGAGGTTAGAATTAGGTGACATGCAGAAGGAATGAGAAAAGGAAATAAGCCAAACAGTGATTAAAAGAAGTAAACTGGCTTGATGATAGAGGCAAAGTGTTTAATATACAAAGGAAAGAAAAGCAGGATGAGCTGGAAATTTTGGTAAATTCATGTTGTATAGACTAAAGTGTATTTGTGGAATATATGAGAAACAGTTTTAAATACAGCTAATCCTGATAGGGCTGATAAACACACCTTAACAAAAGGGACAAGCTTCCATGAGCCTAAAAAGACATTCTGAATATTAAACTTAAGGTATATTACCAAACAGTGAGAGGATCTCCTTCAATTAGAGATCCTAAAATACTCCCATCCTATGCTTATTTTTATAAAAATATTCCTAATATGATATTTTCTTTCACTTTTAAACATTCTGGTCAATTACTTTTATTTAGATCAATGTCAAGAAATAATAAAAATGTTAACAAGAAACTAAAGTTTAAAAAGGTTAAAGAAAGATTTTTCCTTTATAAGATGGCTTATTAACTCTCTAAAAGAAGAATACACATGATGCAGTTCCAAATTTTACATTTTATAAGCACTGTAAGTTTAACTATAATTAAATATTTGATGAAATATGGGTCCAAGCTGTGGATACCAGAGGGCACTAATAGTCATTTAGGCAAAGGGTGCTAGGACTCCACTTAAATCAGTCTGTGGTCTTAGGCTTGACTCTGAGAAATACATATGATCATGAGTGTGTGCATGGGTGTAGGTATGAATATGTGTGTGTGCATGTTTGCACATACCATCTATGCAGCCAGAAGAGGTCAGCTTTTTACGATGAGTACGAGCATAATCCTGTAGGTTAGGTGCGCTTGAAGAACCCCCGAGCACTGAGGTGCTAAACAGGCCCGCACAGTGAGACCCTGATGGGAGTTAGAGAAAATACATACAGCAACGGGTGTTCTTCCATTCACATTGGGAATTCATGCAGCATGCAACTAACATGGCTCTTACCACACATAAGGCAGCCTTTGGCAATACCTTGAACAGGCTTATATGCCTGAAATGTCCTAATGATGTCAACTTTTAAAATAACGTTTCTAATCATTTACTAATCATTATTATAATTTATCTTATGTATAAATGGGAAAATTTAACATTGGAAAAATGTCACTTTTTGAGGAAAACTAGAATGCCCACAAAACAGACATATACATTCTAAAACTATTAAACACTCTACTATAAATACTAATTTACGATAGGATGGGATACTGTCACACAATTTGTAAGCCATATTGGGGGGAAACAAAAAAAGGGAAAAAACTCCAAGCATAAATGAAGCCATATTAAATCAATATTTTTAAACATACATCTGTAAAGAAAGAATATTTTCTGATGTCCTTGAATTAAAAGTTATCAATATTTCACTTAATGAAGTAAAGCAAATCAAGGCTTGCTTATTTGTGAGAATTGTAAAAACAATTCCTTTTAGGTCATCCAGGCTTAAATCACTTTATATTTCTAATAGTTAACAAATGACTTAACATCTTAACTAATGAAACTCCCAATGGGAAGGAGGGAAAGGAAAAGAAAAAGGAAACCCCCAGTGAAGTATTTTATCAGCAAATGAGACACAACTATAATAAATTGATGCTTAATTTGGAGCAAGTCTTTACACCTAAGCAAAATTTTCACAACTGGGTAAAGATGAAATAAAATTCTAAGGAGCTCTTGGTAGTGTAGTGCCTAAAGCATTTGACTGCTAAGCAGAAGGGTGGCGGTTCAAACCCACCAGCCACTTCTTGGAAAGAAGAATGGGCAATCTATTTCCATAGGGATACCGCCTCAGAAACCCAAGGAGGGGTCGCCACGAGTTGAATTCAACTTGACAGCAATGAGTTTTTTTGGATCAAGTATATTATGATACATCTATAAATGAATGGGAAATACATAATTTCTGGAAAAATACTGTGGGAAAATTAAAAACTTGCAACATAATTTATACATAATTAATTAAAGAAAGATCCTCAATTATGTAGGCAGCAATAAGTTCATAAAATTAGTATATAAGTGCTATAAGCTTGCAATGCTCTATTTAAGCTTTGATTAAGTTTACCTCATAGTCTATCAACCACGAGCTTAAAACCAGCTGAGTTTAGAAAGGTCTTTTCCAATGTTAAGTGTTATGTTCTATAACTCAATGAAGAGTTCCACTGCCACTGTTCACTAGTTAGCTTTGGTTTTTCTTAAGAGCTACTCAAAAGGAAAATTAATGCACGCAGATAGGGAATAGAACACTCCATATTTTAAAAATGTTTTTTAATTAGAAAGTAAAGAACTCCTTTTTGCATGCAATTTTTCATCTTTATCAACTTGGAAAACGGTTCCTCGTTAAATGAAAATATGTTGAAATTTTCATTTATAGAAAAAATTAGAAACTAGTATTGACAAATGGCCTATATCTTTGAGTGGTATACACTCAAAGTATTATTTCTTGTTCATTTTACTGAAACTCTATTGTGTTTTTGAATTGCACAATTCAAGATATCTGAATTTTATACATTAAAAAGAAAATTAAAGCATAGCATTTGGTCATGCTTTCATCACTAAAGTGTTTTACATTTGTGTACAGTATAAGTAGGGCATGGAATAAAATTTTCATTAGACAACATACCTACAGGATTCTGCTTCTGTTCTACAAGATTTCTTGGTGTGCGCAGATAATTAGCATTTTCAGATACAACCTGAACAAGGAAAGAAAAATGAGTGAAATAAAACAGTACAATTATGTCAAAAGTCCATACTGCATATGCAGCCTGTTCCAGACAGACAAAGGTTAATAAGCTGTATGATAAATATTAGTAGAAATACATAAAACATGAAAGATCATGCAAGATCCCCTTCTGAAGGGAGTCCATTTCATATGAAGTCCTTGCAATGAAGTGGTGAGAAGCAGGCATTCAGAATAAAATATCATGTATGAAACAAGACAGATGAAAAGAAATAATTAATAGATTGATATAATTTCACGCTCTTAAAAGAAGCCAAATGATCACTCTTAAACAGCTCCTGTATTTGAAGGGGGAAAAAACAACCACAAACAAAAGAAAAGACAGACAGAGACTATTGAGGTCACCATACAATTACTGATCCATGCATGGGCTTTATCAGAGTAACCTTTAAATATTCACAGCCTTAATGGATACCATAATCCCTTTTCCTATCATCAAGTACATTATATTTCCAAAAGGAAATTGTCAAAATTCGTAGAAAAGTCATGTGTAACAACAGACCTTCCATTGTAACAAAAACCACAGCATTTCAAGTTTCCAAATGTCATCACAGAAAGTCCTTCTGAAGTCGTTTTTTTTCATTCAAACTATAGATGGGCACATATACACTTGCCCCTTTTTATTTTAAAGAAAGCATCAAAAATTTTTACACAACTAAAAGGAAGACATACTGTTATGTATTCCTTAAATAAGATACTTCCAGATAAAAGAAAAGCCATGACAAGAATGATCAATATTGGACATAACCTGTTGGTTAATACTGATTGTTAATAATTGAAATTTTTATGTTTTTAAAAATGTTAATATTATCAGCAATTTTCAAATGGAATCTAGTTTTTCAAATATGGAGGACGAAATTATTAAGTTTTCCTGCTATCAAATTAAGTAATTTTGTTTCTTAAAGTTTTGAAGGACAACTAAGCCAAAGACAGAATTTTCTTTCTCATTTAAAAAATTTATCAATCAAGGTAAAGTTCCAGGAGTAGACAAGGTATTATTTTTTAAATTCTCGATTTAAAACTTTCCCAATAAAAATACTATACACACACAATGAAAGTGGTTTCTTTGCTTCAAATATGGTTGGATATCACAAGCATTTTTACATGAACTCCAAAACAGAAGGATTTACTCTGATGTAAAATACAAGGGATTAGATGTCCTCAAAGAGAGCTTTAATTGCTCTGAATGCAGGGAGGAAAAATGTTTAATGAAGTAAAGTTTAAAAACCTGTTGCCATGAGCCAAAAATACTGGATGTGAAAGCCAATGATTTGGGGGAGACAGGGGAAGAAGTGATTTGTTCCCCTGATCTGCGTCTTCGACGCCCAGTACCCACACCACTGGTATAATGCAGCCAGGTACCAGTACCCTCTGGGCTAGACACACTCAGGGGGCTCTCTTCCTGGAAGTGAGAAAGGGGGCATAAAAAAAAAAAAAAAAAAAAAAGCAAAGCATGCAAAGTTAGATACAACAGCGCCAAATGGTCAGAAAGAAAAAAAAATACAGTTTGTTTGCATTTGCTTTATTAATTTTTCTAAAGCTATTAAATAATAATTTGGGAGCCAAATATTTCAGTAGTTGAGAATTTTATAGGAATGGCTTAAAAGTCTAATTATATGTGATAACAGTACAAGAAATACCTTATTATCTTAAATATATAAAATATTTATACTGCTTAATAGGTGTTCTCTCACTTTTGGAACAAAAAATTTTAACATATTTCTTATTTAACAAATTTTCTTAAATATAAAAGTATTCTTAATTTTAAATGTGCAGAAGGTCTTGGGCTATATTTGGATGCACTTTTCAACCCAAACTACTAAAGAATCATGCAAAGAATTTAAGAGATTTCAGACTACAGAGGGATAAAAAATCTAGCAGACATTAAAAAAACAAATTTCAGAGAGCATAAAATGGATTCAAACCGCACTTGCTTATACTTTCAAGTTATCTATTTGTTTACCTGCTTTGGAAATTATTTTTAGAGTTCAGTAGGCAAAACATGCAGCAAACATTCTCATTTTACATGTTTGCATGTTCAGGTTTCAGACAGGGAGGACAGAGTAAAATCTACTTTCACAAAATGAAGAGAATAGTCTTTTTCTCTGTGTGTCTTTTGGAAGTACAAACATCTGATATCCATGGAAATGATGGGTGCTGGAAAAAGTCTTCAAGGTTTTACTTGAGTAATTTTCCTTATGGAAGTAAAACTTTAGCATGGCACAGAAATAATCTCTTGAAAGTAACTATTTAAGTTGTTGTTGTTATGTGCCATCGAGTCGGCCCCAACTCATATCGATCCCTCCTTGGGTTTCCAAGGCAGTATCACTACAGAAGTAAATTACCCAACCTTCCTTCCAAAGATTTATAAATGTGTTCTGCATTTTAAGAGTTAATAAGGGCAGTGATTTTGTTGAAAATTTTGCAAATATAAATGGGTTACAAAATGTAGACTCATTAATACATTTGCTGTATCCACAATATAGTTTTTCTGGAGGGCGGAGGAGAGTGTTTAATAGTGAAATCCTGAACACTGTGATTAGCCACAGACCTTTCATTGTTGTTGTTCAAAAACATATCAAAATCATTGCCCTTGTATAAATGGTAGTTTAGGTTATATTTACATATGTTATTTCTTGGTTTTCTGAAACTAATGATACTTGAACACTACCCAAGATTTCTGATTTTTCAATTAAAGTCTAATAGAACAAATAATTCTACAATTGTTAACCACTCACTCTCTTTTGTATACCTTATAACACCACATTCAAGGGAACCTTCACTAAGATATAATTTACATTATTCTTACTCATCAAATGCTAGTGATGTGACACCTAACTCCTCAGAGTTGACATATTAAATATCAACAAAAAGTATTTTTCTAATGTACAAGTTTAGTTTTTTTTTTTTATCTTATAGTTAATTTCTTGCTTTATACTTTCACTAGAGCATTTAGAAAACTATAAGAATTAACTTCAATCCGTGTGAGGAGAATCATCCTATAGAGAATACAGATGATCCCTAATAAAGTTATTTAAAGTAGATAAATATATAGATGTTTCATAACAAACTACATTCCAACTAATTAACTTTACTACTAAATGTTATTTTAGTAGCTATTTAAATGTTATCTATTAGTGAGAGCGAGGATTAACCTATTTAATTGTAGATCTTAATATAAATTTTTCAGTATCATCAAATTTCATTATTACTACATGAATTTTTACAATCATGCTAACAATGTAGACTTCTGTATCTTATTTTACACTGTTACTAGAAACCAGTGCTACTGAAGCATCTTTAGCAATTCTTTTTTACTATTAACCAGATATTATTCCTGATCCATTAACTCAACCTTAAAAAAATAACTTATTAAATAGCCTAAATAAATGACAAGTAAAATAAGTGTATCAGTTTATCAAATTTAAAGGCTTTATTTTAATAAATGTATTCATTCATATTATGAAAACTATATATAAAGCTCCAAATTCTGAAACTAATCTCTTTATTTTCAATTGCCTCTATATTTTTTGAAATTTGAAAAATAGTCAAAGATGACGAAAATTCTGTTAAGTTTCCAAACTTATATTTAAAGCTGTATTTTCTTTTCTGTTTTATTAAAATATAGTTAGTTTATTTTATGAAAAACATGTTATAATATATATACTTACTTCATTTGTAGCCATCTTCTTAGATCTTGGAAGTGGAGATTTCCTATGTATATGAATTGGCTCTGATACCATAGGTTTGAACAATACCACAGCTCGATCAACCTCATCTCTTTTAGAAGTATGTGGTTCATCATCATTATCAATTTTAAGAGAACACCTTTTACCTTCATTCTGTGGCAAAAATACAACAGTTCTTTTAAATTAAGATACAAAACAATCTCCTCTGATGAACAAATTCAACCACAAATTATTATGGCCACTTGAAGTATATATAAAAGTTTATTTATTCAAGTGAACTAATTTTAATAGAACTCTTACAATAGCCTAGTATTATGTTGGATACTCTTAAGAGAAATGACACTGTCTGTAGTTTCAGGAAATATATACACTCTATGGACAAATTAAACAGTAAAATAACAATAAAGTGTTTAAATAAATTCCACCAATTGCCAAAATAAATAACAACAAAAAATACCAGTAAGAAATGGAACAACGAGAATAGAAGTGAGAATGCTCATGCACTGTGAAGAATGTAACCAATGTCATTGATCAACTTGTATAGAAATTGGTGAATAGAACCTAAACTGCTGTGTAAACCTTCACTGAAAACACAGTATTTAAAAAAAA